AGTTCTCTATAGTAACTCCTATCATCCCTCCATTGACCTATTTCCCACTGATAATGAATGGTCAATTAGTTACCAAGTTCATGTTATCTCATCAAACCGTCCCCTTCATAAACCCATCTAGTTTAATCTTGAAACCAGATAGATCTTTTGCCCCCACTACTTCCCTTGGAAGGCTGTTCCAGAACCTCACTCCTTTAATGGTTAGAAACCTTCATCTAATCTCAAGTCTAAACTTCCTACTAGCCATCTTATATCCTACTAGCCAGCTTATATCCAGCTTCTCATCCACTGTAATCCCCAGGGCCTTTTCTGCTGAACTGCTACCTAGCCAATCGGTCCCCAGCCTGTACCAATGCTTGGGATTCTTCCGTCCCAAGTGCAGAACTCGACATTTCTTCTTGTTGAACATCATCAGATTTCTTTTGGTCCAATCCTCTAATCTGTCCAGGTCACTCTGGATCCTATCCCTGCCTGCCAACATATCCAATGTAGATATGTCATCCACAAACTTGCTGAGGGTGCAATCCATCCCCTCATCCAGGTCATTAATAAAGATATTGAACAAAACCGGCCCTAGAACCGAACCTTGGGGCACTCCACTAGAAACCGACCCCCATCCTGACACTGAGCCATTGATCACTACCTGTTGGGCCTAACAGTATAGCCAGCTTTCTATCCATCTTTCAGTCCATCTGTCCAATCTTAACTTCCTTAACTTGCTGGCAGGAATATTGTGGAAGATGGTATCAAAAGCTTTGCTAAAGTCAAGGTCTATCACATCCACTGACTTTCCCATGTCCACAGAGCCAGTTGCCTCATCATAGAAGCTAATCAGGTTGGTCAGGCACGACTTTCCCTTGGTGAATCCATGCTGACTATTGCTGATCACTTTCCTCTCTTCCAAGTGCCTCAGAATGGATTCCTTGAGGATCCCCTCTATGGTTTTTCTGGGGACTGAGGTAAGGTTGACTGGTCTGTAGTTCCCTGGATAGTCCTTCTTTAAAAAAGGGAAGAAGGGCACTACATTTGCCTTTTCCCAATCATCCGGGATCTCTCCCAATCTCCACAAGTTTTCAAAGATAATGGCCAAAGGCTCCACAATGACAGTTGCCAACTCCCTCAGTACCCTCGGATGCACTAAATCCGGACCCATGGATTTGTGTATGTTTAGCTTTTCTAAATAGTTATTAACCAGTTCTTTCTCTCCGAGGGCTGCCCACCTCCTTCCTATAACTGCGTCGTCTAGCGCATTAGTCTGCGAGCTGACCTTGTCTGTGACGACAGAGGCAAAGAAAGCATTGAGTACTTCAGCTTTTCCCATATCATCTGTCACTAGGTTACCTCCCTCATCCAGTAGGGGCCGCGCACCCTCTCTGATCACCCTCTTATTGCTAACGTGCCTTTAGAAACCTTTCTTGTTACCCGCACATCCCTTGCTAGCTGCAATTCCAACTGCGCTTTTGCCTTCCTGATAACTCCCCTGCATTCTCGAGCTAGACATTTATCCTCCTCCCTAGTCATCTGTCCAAGTTTCCACTTCTTGTCAACTTCCTTTTTGTGTTTAAACTCACCAGGGATTTCACTGCTAAGTCAATCTGGTCGCCTGCCGTATTTGCTTTTCATACTGCACATCGGGATGGTTTCTCCCTGTGCCTTCAATAAGGCTTCTTTAAAATTCTGCCAGCTCTCCTGGACTCCTTTCCCCTTCATGTTAGCGTCCCTGGGAATCCTGCCTGTCAGTTCTCTGAAGGAGTCAAAGTCCGCTTGTCTGACGTCCAGGGTGTGTACTTTGCTACTCTCCTTTCTTCCTTGGGTCAGGATCCTGAAATCTGCCATCTCATGATCACTGCTTCCCAGGTTGTCACCCACCTCCACTTCCCCTGCTAGTTCCTCCCTGTTTGTCCCAGCCCTGCAGTTCCAACGCACAGGATCAGCTCCCTTAGCCCTCAGAAGCAGCCTGGCTTGTGTCCACTCTGAGATCCTCCTGCTAGAGGGTGGCATGATCACTTGCAGCCCAGGCATTGCCAAGAGCACAACATGGCTGCAGTATTGACTGTGCAGGTTGCCGGATCCTGGACTTAGTGCTGCTTCAGGCACAAAGTAGAGAGCAGCTAATCCCAGAAGCCCTCAGTGCTCCAGCTAAACATCCAGGGTTGAGAGTTGTGATGGGCCTTCCATGGGCTTTATAATAATCTGCTTCTGTTGGGAATATGTCATGACTCAGATATGCTTGATGCAAGATGGCGCACGCCACCCATCGCTGGAAGAGGGTGAGTCACTGCCTATGATCCGCTTTGGGAGCACGTCTCCGCTTGTAGAGTAGCATTGCTCTGGGTATCAGTCATTTCATGTTTGCTGCTCTGGGTTGCACTCACTGCTGACTCTTCCGGTACAACAGTGCTGTGGCCTCCTTCACTGATGGCCCACCAGCAAGAGACCAGGAACTGGAGAGATGTGGCCCAGCCAGTACAGAATGGCTGCAGAGACATGTGCCCATGTCACCTGATAGTGGAACCAATCTTGATTTCTGAGACTTGCCATGAGATACCGAGAGGGAGTCACAGAACAAAGGATTCCCACCTTATGCAAATTCTGTCCATGGCAGGGAGTTAGGCAATCCAGCCGTCAGTTCTGCCTAGCTGCTCCGCCCAAGATGACTGCTGGAAACAACTTAGGGTGCGACTACTCCTCACTACTCACCACTGAAACTCATGTCAGCGTGCAGAAGTCTCCCTCTGTTCACAGATTGCGTCCATGTTTTCAGATTGCGTCCATGTTCCCTCGTTGACAGCGTGAGCAGTGCTCAGTGGGTGAGCATCCCACAGTGCCTGGTGCCATCATCGGTCACTAGGTGCTGTGGGAATGCTGAGCGATCCTGTCCGCCCGGCACTGCCCTGCAGAGATTTCCAGCTGCCTTTCATGCCATTTTTTGCTATGACTCCGGCATCTGCAGCATGAAAGCCTGGATCCCACCCTCCTCTCCTCTGTTCTGTTCGGTGCCATGCGGACATCGCAACGGGCAGCAGCATTACTCCTGATGTTATTGACAGAGGAAGAAGAGTCACAGGAGGCCGACACTCTGCATGAGATGGACGGCAGCAACCTGGCACTGCATCTGGCAGCCACAGAGCACTGTCGCTTTTGAGCTAGAGTAGGGGTGGCCAACCCCTGGCTCACGAGCTGCATGCGACTCTTCCCCGCCAAAAGTGCGGTTCACGAAGCTGCCCTGCGGCCCCCCCACCCCACGCCCTCTGGCTCCCTGTGCTCACCGGCACTGCCCCCAAGATGATCACCACTCTTATGCCACCTTTAGGGACAACAGAGGTAGCACAGGCTTTGTCATGGCTCCTTCCCCACTCTGGCATGATAAATGCAGAAGTGGGGGCCAGCAAGTGTACCCCAAAGCCTTATCTACCAGGCTTTGATATAAAACTTCCCCCCAAGATCGTAAAAACCTAGATCTTGGGAATAAAACTCCCGCTGCCACCACCCAAATGTTGATAAAGAAATCAGGGGGAAGATCATTTGGGAAATCTTACCCCTAAAATAAAAATCAGGGCACACAATTAACCACTGCCAGGTTAATAAAAAGAAAAGAAAGAACTTTTATTATTACAACATTATTCCTGTTGCAACCATAATGACTAGATAGGGAGGTAACAAAATATACTCATGGAGAAACTCCATGGGCCTAGAACTTAGTTACAAAGAAAAGCCAAAACATCTTTTACACAGTGCCAGATCTCAGATCCCATACCCAATCCTTAAAACAATAAAACCTAACGAAGCTGCCTAAACTTTACCCTACTTACAGAAAATGAGAATGGTGCCTTGGAGAGAGAGAGAGAGACATGCTTGTCCCTCTCTGTAGCTGCAGAGAACTCTGAGAGTCAAAAGGGAGAAAGGAAATTCCTTTGTCCCAGGTTGAAACTCCCTCCTACATTCCTACTGGTCACTCCACCTGGCAAGGTGTAGTTAACCCCTTAATCCCCAGGCTGCTGGCTAACCCTCATAATCATGACAGGCTTCCTGCAGGGTGGGTGAGGTTCTGCAGCTGCGCGCCAGGTCCCAGAAATATGCAGGCTGCTCTCCCCCACCCCCCCAACTGCCGGCGTGGTAGAGTAAAACACCAGTCCATCGCACGTTGGGACTTTGTTCCCTTGCTGCCCTCCTGCGCATGCGGGAGGGAGTGGGGGTCTGGGACCGTGCCGGCGCCAGCTCTGGCTGCTCCGGTGGCACGCCCTGCCGTGGGGAGCCGAGGAGCAAGGTGCACTCGCTGCCCGACTTCATTCCCCTGCTGCCTTCTTGCGTGGAGGGAGGGAGGGGGGAGTCCTCGGCCAGGGTGGAAGGGCGTCTGGCTTATGAAGATTATTAGAACCACGTGTAGGGTGAGATTTTACATGTCATTAGTTTCTTTCGTGTATTAAGCTTGCATGTATTTATTTTGCTCAGATGCTTACTTCTGTCTGCTACCTCTTAAGACCACTTCCAGCCTGTCTTTTCATACTTAGTAAAACCAGTTTTGTTTAATAAGAGCCCTACCTGCGGGAGCCCAGGACCTGTGGATCTCTCTGTACACTGAGACCGAGGGGATTTCAGGAGCTGACTTTGTACAGAGTTCAGCTCCCAAAGGGGCTGTGCACTGAGTGCTGGGAAAAGGGCTGGTGCGGTGCTGCTTACAGTCTGTCAGCAGCCTTATGGGGATAGCTCAGTCCCCAGGGCTGTACTGAAGCAGGCTGGAGGCTGGGTAACCGGGTGCCCAGGCTGTCAGGGGAAGCAAGCAAGAGGGGTCTCAGCACATCAGGTGACAGTCCCAAAGGGGTCCTGATACATCACAGAAGTTCAGGTTCCTTACTTCAGTGAAGGGGCAATGGAGCCGACCCAGCCTTTGCCAAAGCAGAGAAGCAAGCTCAGATACACCAGACTGGCACCATCAGGTGTGAAAGTAACCAGCGAGCCCCACCCCCCCGCAGCAGGCCTGGGGCAGCAGTAACACCTGCACCCTCCCTGTCACCTGGAGCATTTATTTCCTTTCGATCCCAGCCCAGGGCCCTGTGTGCAGCTGTAGGTGCCTGGTTTCAAGTGCAGCAGGAGCGGTGCTGTGATGAGTAACTGCTCTATTCAGGGGAGCTGCATTGGCTGCACCTCCTGCCAAGTATCCAGTGCCACTAACGCTCCCTGCCGGGGGGCAGTTGGCCTTTGCAAGAGCAAGACTCTGCTCATGATGGACTCTGTTAACCCATAAGAATGGGCCCTTCCAACGTGGTTTCATCACCTGCAGCTCCCTTGGTGTCACTGCTGCCTGGAGACTGATGCAGCACGAGACACTCTGGGACCATCCAAGAATCCTGGGAAACTTGCCCAGCACCAAGGCCTGGGTCAAGGCGAAGGGTGCCCTCTCCAAGCGGGGCTTTGCCTCAGCTGCACAGAAGTGAAGGCCAGCTGCTTGCCCTGGAGAGGCATCCATGTGTCTTGGGCTGAGGTAGGTGGGCAGGCTGACAAGGAGACGAGCTGAGGCAGGGCTGGGACACATGCATGCTGTAAACATACCCACCTGTCAGCCAGAGGGGTGGGAAAGGGATTTTAACCCTCAGGGCTGACAGTCTGGCTCCATTCACCAGCACAAAATTAGCCTGGTATGATTCAGTCCAAGTGAGAGCTGGGCCCTTGCTCACCATGTGAGGTCCTCACACACCCTGCTCCTCTGACAGAGCCTCCAGCCTTGTTCCTTGCTTGTTTCAGGCTTCTCCACCTTTCCTTGTCCTGTCCTGCCCGACATTCCCACAGGCTCGGACCTGGAGAGCCCCCTGCCATCTCCGCCAGATCCTCTCCTGTCCAGCGGACTTGATGCCCTGTCAGCAGAGACACTTTGCCCTGATCTGCAGACGCTGAACCTGAGCTCTCCTGTGAATCAGCAGGTATTGATGTCAGGTGGGGGGAGGAAGTTTTGTGTCGTGACTCACCTGGATGTTTTTAGCTCTGGCACCCGAAGAACAGCATCTAGTACCGTAGGGAGGGGTGGTTGGTGGTCAAGTCACTTATATGGCATAGAGGGGGACAAGCCCCTGCTCTGCCACATAATTCTTGTGTGACCTGGGGCAAGTCTCTTAGCCTCTCTGGACCCCATGTCAGCCATCTGTAGAAGGGGGATCATAGTGCTGTCCTAGGGATATTAAGGCCTAGTCAACTATCCAATAAGCCAATGCCCCAGTGGGGGCTCCTGTGTATTTCAAAGAGGAAGCGCAGCATGGAGCCTGGGCTCTGAGTCAAAGCCCCATTGGGACTCTAGTACGTTTCAAAGGCGGAACACGGAAATTCCATCGACTACTTGACTAGTAAATGAATCTCTAGTTAACATCCCTGCACCAGGGCTGTGTGAGGACACGTGTGCTGAGAACTGTGAGAAGCACAAATCTGTGAGCTACTAGCAATCGATGGCAAAGGCTGTGTGAGGCTCTGCACTAGCGATGGTTTTGTGTGTAAACTTATTGGTTGGGAGGCCCGGGGAGGAGTTTCCTCTCCCCACCCCCCGTATGTTTGACCAGCTGTTCCAACGCCCAGCCTAGTACTGAGCCTGCTCTCCAGGGGCATGGAGGCGAGATCTGAACCTCACAGCTCTAGAGACACAAGACTCCAGGCTTGTTATGCAGGTGGAGAATCAGGCCCACAGGCTTTGCAGGGGGCCAGCGAGCCTGGGCCCCTCTCTCTGCAGCAGCTCCCCAGGCCACATGTGTGTCCACAGCTCAGAAGTACCAGGAAGCCGAACTTCTGCTTTTGTTACTTTGGGGTACTGGTCACATTCAGGTAAGTCCTTGGGGACTGAGCATCCCACAGGGGTGTGCTTCTCAGGGGCTCCCTGCTCCCCTCGGTGGGCGGGAAATACCCCCCAGGAGTGTGCAGCATTGCCAGCACTGAGGCCTGGGACTGGGAGGCAGCGGCAGAGCTGGGGATGGAGCGGTGGGGCCTGGGCTCGGACGGAGGGGCAGCAGTGGGTGGGAAGCCATGGCTCCGACCTGTCCTTGGCTAAGTCCTTCCCGTCCATCCACACTAAATTCAGGCACCGCTATTGGTCAGATCCATCCCAGCCTAACATCTCCCCAGGAAGGGCCCACTCGCACCCCTGGCAGGCCCCACACTCTGCACCGAGCTGGCAAGCGCGCGGCGAGAGCAACCGTCCCTTTGGAAGAAGGGGCCATGCTGCCCCATGAACACCCCGGCTTTGATCCCGGTCTTGGGCAGTGACATTGACCAAAAATAACAGGGCCTGAAGGAGGCAGCTCTTCCGCCTGATTCTGTCCTCCACCGCTCTCTGCATAAAGGAGCAAACTCCTGCCCCCTCCAGGGCACCTGAGGCAGAGCAGCTGGCTGCCCCTCTCCAGCCAGTGAACACGCTTCCACCGGCCCCATCTCTGTGTAGATCAGCTGCCGCCCACCTCCAGATTGCCAGCGAGGCAGCTGTGGGCTCTGCTGTTTGCATGCTGCATTCCTGAGGTCCCAATCCAAACTTCTCTCTGTCTTTCCTGCTCTCCCTGTGCCTTAGAATCACAGAATCCCAGGGCTGGAAGAGACTCAGGAATCATCGAGTCTAGACGCAGGACCAACCCCAACTCAGTCATCCTGGCCAGGGCTTTGTCCAGCTGGGACTTAAACCCCTCTAGGGATGGAGATTCCACCCCCGCCCTAGGGAACCATCCCAGCGCTTCCCCACCCTCCTAGGGAAATAGGTTTTCCTAAAATCGAGCCTAGACCTTCCCCACTGCAACTTGAGCCCATTGCTCCTCGTTCTGCCATCTGCCCCCACTGAGACCAGCCTCTCTCCAGCCTGTCTGGAACCCCCCTTCAGGGAGTTGAGGGCTGCTCTCAAATCCCCCCTCACTCTTCGCTTCTGCAGACTAAACAGACCCAAATCCCTCAGCTTCTCCTCGTAGGTCATGTGCTCCAGCCCCCTCATCAATTTGGTTGCCTTCCGCTGGATCCTCTGCAGATTCCACATCCTTTCTGCTCTTGGCACTGGCCTCTTCTGTGTCCTTCCTTGCCAGATCCCCTCTATTTGCGCAGTGACCACTAACCTCCAGAGCACTGTTGTACCCTTAGGAGAGTGGTGGACAAGTGGAAGAGCCGAGAGCGCAGTGGCTAGTCTAGAGCAAAGGAGGCTCGGGGAGCCTGAGAACAGTCTTCCAATATGTGAAGAGCTGTTGTGAAGAGGATGAAGATCGATTGTTCTCCAGCCCACCAAGGATAGGACAAGACATGACGGGCTAATCTGCAGGAAGGCAGATTTAGATGCTCTCTCTCTTGAACCCTTTTGGACTCTAGGCTGCTTCAGCACTGAGAGAGGATATCTAGGGGGTTGTGGAGATCCCGTCACTGGAGGTTTTTATGAATAAATTAAACTAACAACTATCAGGGATGCTCTAGATCCGTGGTCACCAACCCTTCGACAGACAAGGGGGATCCAGTAGATATAGTGTACTTAGATTTTCAGAAAGCTTTTGACAAGGTCCCTCACCAGAGGCTCTTGTGTAAATTACATGGCCATGGGATAAGAGGGAAGGTCCTTTCATGGGTTGAGGACTGGCTAAAAGACAGGAAACAAAGGGTAGGAATAAACGGTAAATTTTCAGAATGGAGAGGGGTAACTAGTGGATCCCCCTTGTCCACATGTTTGTGAACCCCTTCAGAGAACTCTAAGGGTATGTCTACGCAGAGCACTTATTTCAAATTTGGGAAACCTCATTCCACGAGGAATAACGCAAAATTTGAAATAGCTATTTCGAAATAAATGCTGTGTAGACACTTATTTCGAAACAGGGGGCCTCCAGCCTTCCCAGGGTGCCCTGGTGGCCACTCCACCCTCAACTAAGAACACTCCTCTCCCTCCCCCTCCAGGGAGCCCTTAAAGGGGTTACTCTGGCCACAGTGCCTGTGCCAGCTCCCAGCCTGCCAGCCCAGAGCCAGCAGTCACTGCCCCTGACCCAGTGGCCCCAAAACAGGAGCCAGCAAGCCACTGGCAGCCTCCACCCCTCCCCAGGAGCAGTCTGCCAGCTCCCAGGAGCCTGCCAGGGCCCGGAGAAGGCAGGCGCCTTCCTGGTCCAGGGCGAAGATCATGGACCTTATTCAAGTTTGGGGGAGATGCCCCCAACATCCATGATCTCCACACTTAGATGGAGGAAAGCGGCCGTCTAGGGCAGGAGAGCTGCCAGCCTGGTCACCAAAGGCCACATGCGAACCCAGGAGCAGGTTTCCATTAAAATCAAGTTGGTGATGAAGGAGGTAACCTAGGGTATGTCTACACTACAAAGTTAATTTGAACTAACGGACGTTAGTTCGAATTAACTTAGATGGAGGAAAGCGGCCGTCTAGGGCAGGAGACCTGCCAGCCTGGCCACCCAGGAGCAGGTTTGCATGAAAATCAAGGTGGTCCACTGAGACCCCCGACCCTGACCCTGAGCTTCCCCTCCCCCTTCTTCCTCTGCTTCCCCCTTCCAGTTCCCTCCTCCCAGGGTTCCCCCTCCCCTCTTCCACCCTCTCTTCTCCCCTCTCCCGCTTCCTTTCCCCAGTCTCACCAGAGTTTCATTCCCTCCCCCTCCCCCCCAGTTTTGTTAAATAAAGAGAGCATGTGTTCATGAAAATACATGTCAAATAAAATACATCAGGACGCGGGGTTAGGGAGGGGTAAGTGCAAGGATGTGAGGGAGGAATGAGGCACAAGCCCCCAGTGGGGCAGACCAGGGAGGCTCTTAGTGCTCCTCAGGGTGGAAGCTCTCCCGCAGGGTGTGACGGCGCGTTGGGGGTCCCCCGTCTCCTGCACCCCGAAATGGCACAAACAGACTGCACCAGCCGGTGGAACAGAGGAAGTTTATTACCTCTCCAGGATACAGCACAGCACAGATGGAATCTGGTCACAGAGCTGGGCTAGGATGCCTCAGGCCCCCTTGAGATGGGGGAGACTGGGCCCCTAAACTCCAGCTCCTCTCCCTAGGCTGTCTCCTCCATGCTCCCAGACACCAACTAACTAACCCTCTCCCAGCCCTGCCCCCCAGCCAGGGCAGCATCCACCTTCCTTTGTTCCTCTCCATGGGGGGTGTCTGGCC